CGTGCAAACTTTGCGCAAGAGTTATGCCGGTGAACGTCTTAATCTCAGTCAATTCACTATGCAGAAAGTGAAAGTAAAAACGGAATGACAGAGTAATGAAAGAGCTTTCGGCATCTGACGCCGAATAATTGATGTTTTTGACAATATCTCTGGCTATCGTCGATACAAGATCATCGTCTTTCAACGCAACCCAGCAAGGGGAGGTTATTGCGTGTCCTGCGTGCCCGTCCGCTAACGTTACGCCACTGGGCAGACAGCACGTTGCCTGTTACGTAATTTGGGCTGCCTTGTTGAGCACAGTGGCACTGAGAACATTATATTTCACACACTTTAAGCTCTTTTATTTTCCAAATGTAATATTTGGAAATTCCAAATCATCTCCAAATGTTTTTGACAATATCTCTGGCTATCGTCGATACAAGATCATCGTCTTTCAACGCAACCCAGCAAGGGGAGGTTATTGCGTGTCCTGCGTGCCCGTCCGCTAACGTTACGCCACTGGGCAGACAGCACGTTGCCTGTTACGTAATTTGGGCTGCCTTGTTGAGCACAGTGGCACTGAGAACATTATATTTCACACACTTTAAGCTCTTTTATTTTCCAAATGTAATATTGATTTGATTGATTGATTGATTGATTGATTGACTGACTGACTGATGTGAATTAAGTAAAAATATGTAATATTAAGTTCTTAAATTAAAAGTTAAGAACCTAAAGTTCATCATTACTGATGAGATATGTATTTATATAAATATATAAAATTAATTCAGAATTATATTAAATATTTTAATGTAATATTTTAATTTTAATATGATCAAGCAATAATTTCCAGACCACCTGCACTGCTACCATGACCCCCTGTTGGATGTTTCCCACTGAATTTGTTCCCATAATATAAATCCCTACACACACATTGATTTCCTTACATATTACAACACACAAACCAAAAATACCCCAAAACACTCTCCAGGGTGAGGCTTTCCACACCTGTACAGACGACACAAGACAAAGACTAGAGAAAACAGCTGAGATACGCTGCGTAGTTCGCATTTACAGTGATTTACTGTAGCCATTTAACAAGCTCAATGAGAGAGAAACTAGTTATTCTGTACAGTATGACAGAGGTGTAAATCACTCATGCAGGATCATGAGGACTCACTCTCATCCAAATGACTTATCTGAGATCAGTCAACTGCAAACTAAACCTCACAGCTCGCTAATCGTCTCATATTTCACTCACTGTGTTTTCAGTTCACTGTGATTTCATAGACATCCACTTATTAAGAAAACTAACTTCATTGTTGCCAGCAGTAACTGGTTTTCTGACAAAGAGGTTCTAAAAACAACTACACATGCTTAAACGAACATGCCACAAAATAGCTGTAAGAAGGCAAACACACATTTATTTTTGTTGGTAATGTGCTTTCTGTTTAGCCTTTTAATGTGAGACTTTCTTAGCAGTGCCAAACCTTTTTTAGTAACACCTAAACTCAGGTAAATTAAGCCATCAGATTCAGGTTCATCCGCAATTATACGAAGCTACAAGAATACTTTTTGTGCGCAAAAGAAGTATTCTCGTAGCTTCGTATAATTGCGGATGAACCACTGAGGTCACATGGATTATTTTACAGATCTCCTTGCTACGTTTCTGGACTTGGGAACATTTCAGTTGTATTGCTGTCTATGCAGGGTCAGACAGCTCTCAGATTTCATCAAAAATATCTTCATTTGTGTTCCGAAGATGAACGAAGGTATTACGGGTTTGAAACAATATGAGGGTGAGTAATTAATGACAGAAATTTCATTTTTGGGTGAACTAAACCTTTAATAGAAGCTATAAGATATTATAAGACCAGGCAGATAGAGGGATAAAAAAACAATAGTAATAAATAATTTATTCAAATAATATTAATAAAATTAACGTTAATGATATAAATCTTATTATCACTGAAAACAGTGTTGTTGTTTTTTGTTGAGAAAAGAATCCTGTTTTTCAGGATATCTTATCATCACTGAAAACAGTGTTGTTGTTTTTTGTTGAGAAAAGAATCCTGTTTTTCAGGATTCTTTGATTAATAGAAAGTTTAAACAGCATTTATTTGAAATAGAAATGTTTGGTAAGATTATAAATGTCTTTACTGTCACTTTTTATCAATTCAATGCATCCTTGCTGAATAAATGTATTCATTACTTTCAAAAAATGGTAATGCATGTTTCAAATACCAAGAGATGATGTGTATATGTATATTTGAAGTAGTCTGTGTTATGAAGGAATAAGTAAAAAATTTATGAACTGATCCTGGTATTCTCTATGTATACCCACGCACACGCACACACATTCTCATTGTTTTAATAATACTGTACCATGA